GATTAAGTGGTTTGGCCATATTGTTAGAATACCGCAAGATTAAATACCATCACAAGCACTACATCTCAGAAGATCAGCTACAAGAGCAAGAGGACATGGATCGACAACATTAAAGACACTTTACGCCTTCACGGCATGACAATAGCCAGTGGCAGCCAACATGCACTGGATCGCAAATTATTCCTCCCCACGTCGCTTAACGACAGAAGTGGTTTATGATGATGATGATGATGATGATGAGGATGATGAATGATCGCAAATAAATGAAACACCTCATAACTGAATTTATACAATTATGTTTATTTCAACACACTGAATAAATGTTGATGACACACTTTACATCTTTGGATGTGTTAGACAGCAGCCATGTAGGCATAAGTCGAGTTCTGCCAGTAATAATGGTTGAGGTATTAAGTGAATTCCAAATTGACATGCATGCACTAGTATTTGGACTGCTACGCCTCCCCCTCCCCCCATCTCCACATCCCCTATCAGCATAAAGAAAATCTCATACAAAGCATATCATTCCCACCTTTTGCTACCAGTGGCAGACTTGGTCTCAGAAGGGCTGCATGAGTGACTAGAAGAGTTAACATCAAGAATGAGGATGTAAGAGAAAAAAAAAACAATGCGACCAGAACCAGTTCTAAATTACATACAATGCCAAATTAAGGTTTACACCAAAAGAGGAGAGGGACGTAGAGAACGAGGTGGGCCAAGAAAATAAAATGTAAATACAACATCGGAGACACTCCACGACACGATGTGTCAATCAATGGTCTGGGGAGAGGAGGGACGGGGGGACAGAAGAACAAGAATCAGAACTCTGTATTTTCCTTGACACCCGAAGCGATAGAAGACGAAGTAAAGAAGAAGATTTGCATGTTCCGGTTCCAGTGTACACAGTGGTCGATTGTTTGGGTTTCTATAGTTAAAAATGGCGCGCTAAAGCTTTAACAAATATCTGGAAAACATATACGGATGAAAACTAAATTTTTGCATATGGTTTTAGATTTCCTACGTCCTTAAGATTTTATAATTTAATGTTACGCAGGTGCTACTGTTTTCTTATAGCGCACGAATTTCCTTGATAGTTGTACTTATTATTTGTGAATTAATCAAGTAACAGAAAGTGTATTGATCGGCACTCATAAAAAAAAAAAATAGATAAGAAGAACACACTAGACATCATAAAAATCGAATGCTATAGTTGCCGTTCCGGGAATTGAACCTGTCACCCCCAGACGGCGTCTGCGCCTCGCCATGAAAACAAGTGCACTTAGAACATGGTCAACTAAAAAAGGTGTCTTATTGGCCATGTCTATCGTACAATTAGAAATTTATTATTTGTGAACCCCTGAGCAAAAACTAGAATTTACAGTAACTTCCACGCATCATGTAGTTTAAACCAGTCTTCCTGAAACATTTTGTCCCCACATACACGGAACACCAAAACGGGTGAAATTGTTTAGCGGATCACCTAAAGCTAACCAAACACAAACGTAACCGTCCTAACATATCTTTTACGCGGTTTAAATGGTGTTTCCGACATTTGTAACAGATTTTTTTTTTACTCGGTAAGCTCCAGCAGTAAGGCCGAACATGTCTACGGAAGTTCTCGTTTTGTTAGGCCACTGCCTTCTCTAATAAATATAGGGAAGGCCGTGGTTAGGCCGGTCTGAGCTCACCAGTCAATGAGCTACGAACCATCGGTTGAATAACGCTGCTTTAAACCACCAGCTGAAATCATTTGTACATGTGCAACAGTATTTTTTTTTTTTTTTTAATAGTCTATCCTGCATATAATGAAATGTTATGCTCATCTAACTCTGTGGCTATTGCTGAAGATTGACCACCTGGAAATAAAACGCATATAAACTAAGTTACGTTTATGTAAATGAGATTATGAAGTACATTAACTTAGTTAGTTAGTTAGTTAGTTAGTTAGTTAGTTAGTTAGTTGGGTTATCATCATTGCACTCCGGACATGTCCATAGGTGCTCAGATCCTCCCCTCAGTATGAATCCCAACGTCCGATGGCTAATAGTACCAGTTCTATGTTGATTAACAAATCTTCTGACGTGTCCGGTGTGCGTCTCGTTTTTTGCTGTGCCGATCTTAATTCCCAAGTCTGCCATTCTGGCGAGTGATGTGGATTCACTGCCATTAACTATTCAGATTTAGTGCGCTAGGGGTTTTCTTGCGGATTACCTCTAACACATGTGCAGTTTGAGGTTCTTCAAAGTTCGCGTCACTCCGTGTCAGAGGCCAGTTCGGCTATGGGAAGAATGATAGTGAATCATCACGTTTGAACGAGTTGACCCTCAGTACAACTCAGGATGAGAGCGGACAGCTTGACAACGCAATAAACTGGGTCCAGTTAACGGGCCAGGTCTAGTTCACTCAGGTTACACGGATTACTACGTGTCAAGCCGTGAACGCAGGCCGGAGATACAAAGGGTTTGTCCGAGCTGGTTGAAGGGGAGTCGTGTGCTGGGACAGTACGAGACAAGACGGAAACATTTTGACTAGGTAACGTTAGGTTTAGTGACGGTTAGTTGTAATAGGATATTTGTATTTAGTATCGATGATAGGCTGTGTTTCTATTTAATGTTTCGACTAGATAGTATAGAGTTAATGTTCTTTATATAGTAGACATTCCATGCAGTATTTGTTTGAGCGGTTAATCAAGGTGTGACGCGCATTGTAATGGCGGTAACTCTGCCCGGTCACGCTTAGGCCATACACCTTACGTGTATCGCTGAGTCCCGTTTGGCAATAGACGGCGGATTAATTAGCACTGAGAAACTGTCAGCTAAGAGTCGTGTTCCTGATAGATCCATGGGAACTGGCCTGGGTTGATTAGTGATTGTAAAGCTACCATCGCCAAGGGGATTTCGGATGGGAACTGCTTAGCTCAGTTGAAGTGTTTAACGTCGTGTTGTTCATTGTTCATTAAAGATTATGTTTGTGCTCAGCGGGAGTATTGTCTTAAGTGTGTCTGGGTAGTTAAGTCTGTCAGCTGGCCTACCTAGCGAGCCATATAATTAAATAGAGTAAATTAGGTCCCTGGCACGCCGTTAACTGTGAACATGCTACTAATTATGTGCTTCGAATCTACAATTTTCTTCTCATATACCACAAATAAAGAATAAAAAAATTTTTAAAAAAACCAAAAGGTTTGTTTACATTATAATTTTTTTTTTTACACAAGGAAATGATTATTAGCATATTGCATGCTAAATTTCAACAATCGAATGGTTACCGAGTCACAGATTTTAAAATTTGGGCACGACTTGTTTTGGTGAGCGCATATCTGGCATGTTGACCAGCACACTATTTACAGCAAAATCAAAAACTCATTGAAATGACAACCACAACGTTACCACGATATAAACAAAATAGGTGGAGAGCAACCCTCGCCAGTTACGGTTGAAGGTGGTCATCGGTAGTAAGTGGAAGCTGTGATAGTGCAGGGCCGAGCCGATTTTCCTACGGGTCCGATTGTCATAACTTTGAATTCTCACCGATGTAGCTTAAAAAAAAAGTCAACCTGAACACATCATCATCTGGTCCTTTATAACGTCGCGACACCGCTGGTGGTCTATCTTTCTCTAGCCAATTCTCAAACCCTATATGTTATCATAGGCGACGCATCTTCAAGACGTTGTATCCACCTTCGCTGATGTCTGCCTCGTTCTACGATAACTGTACTCTCCAGGCCACTATGGCATTTAACATGGCACAAATACTTCAGCTCTCTGGACAGGATGCTGTTTATGAGCCAATTCTTCTCAATGTTCAGATCACGTAGGATGTCTGCGATTTTCTTCTTCTTAGTCCATAATCTGGACTCCCAATTCGAATAAGTTTAACAATCGGTATCAGGAAATGGTCTGGAAAATAAAAACAGCGGTGGTGATACTGATCGCACAGAAATATCGACGCCATTTGTTTTTAAAGTGAATGGGGGCTAGCAACATCTTCTAATCAACACCAAGGCATACAACCCCCTAAGGCAGCAGTTCTCAACCTCTGGGTCACGACCTATTTTTTGGTCGAAGGATCCTTTCACAGGGGTCGTCAAAGACCATCGCAAAACAAATATTCATTGAGGTTATTAGGTAGTGACGAAAATAACTGTATGGAGTCGCCACAACATGAGAAACTGTATTAAAGGGTCGCCACAACATGAGGAACTGTATTAAAGGGTCGCCACAACACGAGGAACTGTATTAAAGGGTCGCCACAACATGAGGAATTGTATTAAAGGGTCGCCACAACACGAGGAACTGTATTAAAGGGTCCCCACAACACGAGGAACTGTATTAAAGGGGCGCCACAACACGAGGAACTGTATAAAAGGGTCGCCACAACATGAGGCACTGTATTAAAGGGTCACCACAACATGAGGGACTGTATAAAAGGGTCGCCACAACATGAGGAACTGTATTAAAAGGTCGCCACAACATGAGGAATTGTATTAAAGGGTCGCTACAACACGAGGAACTGTATTAAAGGGTCGCCACAAAACGAGGAATTGTATTAAAGTGTCGCCACAACATGAGGAACTGTATTAAAGGATCGCCACAACACTAGGAACTGTATTAAAGGGTCGCCACAACATGAGGAATTGTATTAAAGGGTCGCCACAACATGAGGAATTGTATTAAAGGGTCGCCACAACACGAGGAACTGTATTAAAGGGTCGCCACAACATGAGGCACTGTATTAAAGGGTCACCACAACATGAGGAATTGTATTAAAGGGTCGCCACAACATGAGGAACTGTATTAAAGGGTCGCCACAACATGAGGAATTGTATTAAAGGGTCGCAACAACACGAGGAACTGTATTAAAGGGACGCGGCATTAGGAAAGTTGAGAACCACTGCACTAAGGCATGTAAATGGGCACTTTTATCTCATCCAATGCAAAGCGTCCCAGCAAGGATTAATCACAAGCAAAATAACCACGCGCACAGTTTAGGGAAGGCAAGGATTAAACAGATTCGCCGCTGACCATGATATCGTCATCCATGACATGCACACCCTTGGCGTCGTGAAACGTTGGGTAGGCGAACTCCTGGGCACGCAACATCTTGGTGGCACTACGGCTGCTGTTGCAGCTGGCATTCAGATGACGGTTTTTTCGGTAGCTGTTGAAGCAGGTACTCTCGTGAAGGGGTGTGTTGGGGCGCTTGTTACAAGAGAACACGTTTCTGAATTCTTTCTTGAATTTTACTGAAAGCATAAGAAAGGTGTTAGGCTTCTAAAAAATGTATACGGGTAATTGATGTCATGTTCATCATCCATTATGATGGTGATGGTGATGATGATAGGGATGATGATGATGATGATGGTGGTGGTGGTGGTGGTGGTGGTAATGATAATGACGGTGATGATAATGACGGTGATGATGGTGATGATGGTGATAATGATGGTGATGGCAGTGATGATAATGGTGATGATGATGATGATAATGATGATGGTAGTAATGATGATGGTGAGGATGATGGTGATAATGATGAGAATGATGATAGTGATGGTGGAGGTGATGATTATGATGATGGTGGTGGTGATGATGATGATGGTGGTGGTGATGATTATGATGGTGCTGGTGGTGATGATGATGATGGTGGTGGTGATGATGATGATGGTGGTGGTGATGATGATGATGGTGGTGATGGTGATTGTGATGATGATAATGATTGCAAAGGCGTTTTTAGACTGAAATGTAGAACTGACACAACGAGAGACGCATACAGGTTTCTGTTTATGTGCAAGCACTCGCCACTCATAAAGTTGTAGACAAGTGCATACATTTCTCTGTTGGCACATCACATTTACAACACACATATGCTGGTTTACTCAGTGGTCTATACCACTCATACAGTTCTACAAAAGCAGGTCGATAGCACTGTTTACACAAATACAACACGTGTATATACATTCCTGTTTTCACAGAAAATTGAATTGCAGATGAGTTTAACCTGACTGCGCGGCAACCGGGTGACGAACTCCTTGTGGTCCGGGTTCACACCCGGGTGTAGGCAGAAAAGTCACATATCTCCCAGATTTACGTTATCTATAACGGAATCAAGGCCCAAAGGTTGCGATATCCATAGTACGGAGCCAAAAGTTTAACAACTCATGGTTTCTGAAGTTAAAAAAAAATAAAGCACTGTCAGATGCTCAGATGTAGCGCTACTAAGAAACCATTGAGGGAGGGACTCAAACGACCTAATTTATTTTCCTAAGCACGGGGGAATCAACTCTGGTTTAATTACAAAATAATAATTTTATAATAACAATATTTTTATTATTTTTGCACAATTAGACAAGGTTTAATCCCTCTGAGCTCCCTCCCAAAAAATTATTGGGGACCTCAAGGGGTTTAAGCTTTGTTTAACTGGGTATTAATAATAATAATAATAATAATGATGATGATGACGATGATGATGATGATGATGATAATATTAGCTTATGTTAGTATGCTTATTGGCAGATACAATTTTTTTGAAATATCTGAAACAGTACAAAATATATAAACAAATGCTTCAAAGAGAACGTTTATGTAAGGTGGTGTGTGAGGTGGGGTGCTTCTTAAAATTATAGAGAGGGGGAAGGTATTGGGGGTGGGGGGGGGGGGGTGTGCTCAGTTCCTCCTTCGCCTAATAGCACCATGGAACAGACACAACAACATATACATATACGTTCCCTTTTACACGGATTTATCAAATTTATTATTCATAAATAGATGAGCGGGTTGATAGCGCTGTCGAAGTAGATACAACTACACACACATACATGTGCCTGTTTAGACGGAAACATCACTCGTATAGTTATAGATGAGCAGGCTGATAGCGCTGTTGAAGTAGACACAACTACATACACACACACTTTCCTGTTTACACGCAAACACTTACCACTCATAAAGTTATAGATGAGCGGGTTGATAGCGCTGTTGAAGTAGCACAGCCAGTGGGCGAACATGAACATAATGGAGAGAATGGAGGAGTCGTTTAGTGAGGCTAGCCAGCCCAGTTGTCTGAAATACAGTCACTACTATTATACACAATGCACTGGTATAATACAAATTACATTAGAATACTATAAAATACTTGGTAAAATGCAAAATACATTGTTATAATAAAAATGCATTGATATAATACCAAATAAACAGATATAATACAAAATGCATTGGAATAGTATACAGTACATTTATAACACACACAATTATTGGTATTATACACAATCATCATCATGTAGCAGGTCCTTTGCAGAACGTCGCTCTCATCACAATCTGCCTGAAAGAAACTCGGTCTCTCGCCTCATGCATTTTTACATTCAAGGAGTCACCTATATCCTGTGCCCATCTTCGTGTCGGTCGGCCCCTGCCCCTCCTTCCTGGTAACATGCCTTCTGCTATAATTTTTTCCAATCCGTCGTGGCGCTTGAAATGACCAAAATATTTCAGCTTTCGAGAAAGGATGCTGTTTATTAGCCACCAATCTTTCTTGATGTTCAGATATTTTAAGATGTCAATATTTCTCATCTTCTTTGTCCAAGATATTCTGAGAATCTTTCTATAACATTTAAGCTCAAAAGCCCCTATTCTCTTTCTCAAGGACTGAGAGATAGTCCACGACTCGCATCCATGTGTAGCCACAGGGAAGATGCGTGGTCTCAAAATTCTAATTTTGATCTCCTTGCTGGTGCTTAACCATAGACTTTTAAGGCTGTTCAATCTTCATTTTTGGCTTCCACGATGAGTTTCTTGGGATAGTAATGTGGTAGTTTCCCGTTGTTTTCCACATCCACATGGCTTTAGACCATGTCCTCAGCCTTCAGCAACCTTTTCGATTGCTAGGGCAAGTGAGTGCCCTGCTCTGTGATGCTCCTGCTAACAGCAGAGGGCACCCCAGAGGTGTCCACTTATCCCGGCGGATACTCGGTCTTTATAGCTGCGTTGCCCACGCCGCAGTGTGTTTACCGTCCTCTACCGCGTGGAGGTGCAGTTGGGGTTTTCCCTTCACTGAGTCTTGAGACCAGAATGGCATTTCCGAAAACTCTCCAGTACTTTCAGTACTTTTAATACTTTGGTAAAATACAAAATACATCCGTATAATAAAAAATACATTGAAATAATACAAAATACATTGGTATAATACAAAGTATATTGCTATAATTAAAAAAAAAAAAAAAAATACATTGTAGTACTACAAAATACACTGTATAGTGATAGGAAATAAAGGATTAAAGTAAGGGGTTTGATTGGTTGTTAGAATCAGGAAAACCCCTAGGTTGCAAGATATAAAGTCAGCATGAAGGAGCGAAAACACATGAATGAGTGAGTGGACTTGGGAACAAGGGACAATGGTAGAACCAAAAAAAAAAAAAGGGGGGGGGGAGGGGAGGGTGTAAAGCCGCATAGAGACTGATTCTGCAACAGGGCTCAAGAGATGGAAGGTGTGACAGTTGATTGTCGGTGCTGAAAGCTGATCGTCTGTATAGAAAGCTACGCTGAATAAAGGCTGAGAGAAAAGGCAATACTGATGTGTCTTACTGAGTGCAGATTGTTGAGTTGGTCAGCGATGGACGTTGAAGGTTTGGCCGTGTGATCTGAAGACCGGATGTGTGAAGTAAGTGTCATGTTATATATTGGTACTAGGCTGTTTATTAGAGAGGAGGACAGGATCTTGTAGATTATATGTTGTGACTATTAAACGTGAAACTGTCACCAAGTGTTGTCGACTGTTATGTGGAGGAGTTGCAGGAGCTGACTGGATTTAAACTCTGTCTCGTCTACTCTGTGAACACTAGACAACGTCCAATTTATTACTACAACAAGAGAAACATTACACACTGATGTAATGCAAAATACGTTGGTATAATATAAAATACACTGAGATAATACAAAATACACTGAGATAATACTCAATACACTGTAATAATACAAAATACACTGGGATAATATAAAATACACTGGGATAATACAAAATACACTGAAATAATACAAAATACACTGTGATAATACAAAATACACTGGGATAATACAAAATACACTGGGATAATACAAAATACACTGGGATAATATAAAATACACTAGGATAAAGCAAAATACACTGGGATAATACAAAATACACAAGGATAATACAAAATACACTGGGAAAATACAAAATACACTGGGATAAAGCAAAATACACTGGAATAATACAAAATACACAAGGATAATACAAAATACACTGGAATAATACACAATACACTGGGATAAAACAGAATACACATGTACACTGAGATTGGCTGATCGGTGAAGCTGCGTGAAAAAGGGGTCCCTAAAGCTGTTTTAGTAGATGGTTAACCCACCACCGCCAATATTTTGTAGGGTGAACCCGATAACCTGAAAACTGTCGGAGGTTTAAGATTTTGAACAAACGTACATCTACATTTTTATGTATTTAGATGCGTACTTATACAAAGTCAATGAAAGAGGCTACTTAGAAAATTTAACAGGGGTTCCCGCTATCCTCCCGTTTTCTTTGTTACGGCGCTATCGGTTGGGCCAATGTTTTAACTCTAGTCCGATACCAAGGACGCTTTCAAATGCTTTTTTCTCCTGATAAAGACAGATATAGGTTATTTATTTCCTCTATATCCAGTACCGAGTGCTCTTTCTCCTAAACCGTACTAGCAGCAGAAGAAAAAGAAGAAGAAAACGAAGAAGAAGAAGAAGAAGAAGAAGAAGAAGAAGAAGAAGAAGAAGAAGAAGAAGAAGAAGAAGAAGAAGAAGAAGAAGAAAATGAGGAAGATGAAGAAGAAAAAGAAGAAGAAGAAAAAAGAAGAAGAAGAAGAAGAAGAAGAAGAAGAAGAAGAAGAAGCAGAAGAAAAAGAAGAAGAAAAAGAAGAAACAACTTATGCGAAGCAGTTTATTATGCAAGACACAGGTCGACGTAGTCTTCCGGACTGATTTATTGAATCCTTTCCTAGCCCTTAATTTATTGTACTCTTGTAACCCCTTTCGTCTAAAACTAGTTAGTGTGATCCAATGGCGTGAAACCAGTCGGAATTAGTTTATTGGCAACTCACAGAATCAGTGGCAATATTTCTGGTCATTTTCTTCGTCTTCTTCTTCGATCCTTCTGTCAGAAAACATTATATCACGAGGCCAGTAGCCTTGATAAAAGCTATAGTGCAGTTCAAATCTCCCCGTCTGCCGTAGTTTAGTTTTGACTCAGCTTGGACAAGGCCCTATGGCCTCATTGTTAGCAGCATGCAGCCTACAGTGTTGGAGTAGATGCTCAGAATTTTCAGGTGCTGAGTTACGAGAGACACATCTTTATGTTACCGATACAGAAAAAATTGAAATTATGCTGGCAAGGTCGGTTGTACCCTGTTCTTAGTCTGGATGTGATTGTCTCGTCTTTTGAGAGGCGATGAAGCGAGTCTTAGGGTGAACATTTTGTGGTGGTATCCAGCCGTCTTTCTTGGATACCAGTTGGTTATCTCATAATCATCATCAACTGCCTTGCCGACTGGCGAAGGCAATCACGCCTCTTCACAATCTGCGATCTGCAACTGCGTGTATCAGTTCACGTGTTGACACCTCTCCATGCCATGACAAAAGGCTGTGTAGAAACTTCTCTCACTGTCTTTCTCTGTCTCTCTTTCCACAGATTTTTCCAGTGGTCACAACATTTTCCAGTCCCCTTCTTTTCATAGCATGACTAACAAATGTTGACTGTCTCTTACCTATGTTTGTGGAAATATTATCTGATAATACACATTTTCAAAGGCGGGACCGAAAGGAAAGTAACACTGGCAGTGACACCTTTATAGCAGGGACACCGAGGTATCATAGCAGCTACACGCGTCTCCTTCGCTGTGAGGAGTTACCAGCGAAGTTGGCCGACGCTTAACACTCAAGGGAAAAGCGAGACGGGTATACAGTTACTGATGCCATCGGAATTGGAACTTTTCGCTTGCTTGCTGAAGATGGGAACAAAGCGCTTATTGGAGTGTCCGGAGGGATGTGATTTCGATTGTTAATTCAATATTTAACAACGCTTGCCTTTTGACACGAGAGTCTGATGTCTTTCTGGCTTGGGTTTAGAAAATAAATTAAAATTGGCTCCCACGTCTAAATCGGTGCCAGGAAATGTCATGAAAATTAAAAATGGCCGGTGTGATCTTGACCACATAATTGATATGTGACTCAAAGTTTGTATCCAGGACTAGACTGCTGATGCACCACCGGCGTAAAAATGGCCCACTGCTTACATCTACTTACTTCACAGTACCCTGAAGAACTTTGAAAAATCTAGGATGCTCACTGTTAAATTCGTGTTGATATTACAGACTGTACACAACTGCACAGACTTCACAATACAATTTCTTATAATTGTTTGAAAGTAAAGTAAAAGTAAAGGACCCTGTTCCACACAATCTGGCTTATTGGGTATATAGGGCTAGACTTATATTTTATAGACCAATCGCATCAGCATCATACCGACCGCATTTACTTTCCAGGACTGTGGCTGGTACCCATTTAAGGCTAGGTCCATCTAGGAGCCGGAGTCATTTAAATTGTTTGAAAGTATATTTAAAATGTATCAAATATGACGATACCTATACTCCCGGCACCATATACCGACGAACGTATACCAAAGCAAACTTATACCGAGGTAGTATTGTACATGTTCGCTCCCTAGCGGAGCCGGACATTTTTTTTCAAAAAAAAAAAAAAAAAATGACCTTGGCTCCCAGGTCGACCCAGCCTTGAGTGGGTAACGAGAGCAGTCCCGAGAAGTAAAGGCGGCTGGCATGATGCTGACCACATCACCCATCTTGAACCGATTGGTCTTTAAAATATGGGGCTAACCCTATATGCCCAATACGCCTAAAGGCGTGGAAAAGGGTCCTTTACTTTTTCTTTACCTTTTAGTATTGTACTTTGTTTCCAAATCAATGCCCACAGAGAGAAAGCTCTGCAAAGA